TTCAAAATTTCTGCCTTCTTTCAATACGTTTGTTAAGGGTGCAACAACAGCACTGATATTTGGAACACAGTTGTGACAGAATCACTCATAACGTCAAATTTCACGTTTCATGTTAGGCACTGTACTTTTGCTTCTCTAAATATTACTTGGCCTTGTCCCATGATATAACCCAAATAGGTCACCTTGGCTTTGGTAAATTCACTCTTGGACGAATTTATATAACCAAATCGGCTTTCTATAGCTGATGAAATATTTCAGTCAAATGGTGTAAATGTGAAATGTATATTGGAAGCATTGTTTCTGAGCTTTGGTTTGTTAACTTTTCTTTAATTAATTTCAGTGGTTTACAATTCAGTTTGTGAGCAGGCTGCTTTGTATAAACCTTTCAATTCCAAATCTTGTTTGATGTGTTTCTGTTAAAGATGGGCTAAACATATCAGCCTTGTTCTCTTTGCCTTAATACTTTTTAGTTAAATTTTCAAAAGGTGTATCCGATAACCGAAATTCAAAATTATCTCCTTGTTTCATAGACATATTTTCTTCCTGTCTAATTTTATGGTCCTGAGATATCATCACAGCACAGTCAGGAAACAATCCAGGATGTTCCTCCTGTAACATTTCAGTTTCTTTTACCTCCACTGATGCTTCACCAAGGGTGGTAGAACAATGTATACTTGAAACCTGCCAGGTCATTTCCAAAATAAATTTAGTTGCTTCCATCAGAAATTGTCTTGCTAGTCGCATTACAATTTCTCCATTTGCTATGTCCAAGACTCGTTTGTAACCTCCATGTATGCATCCAGTTAATATTTTCTCCATCATTAACCCCTCATGAACATAGGAGGTATGGTTATTAAGCTTGCAGATGACACCAAAATTGGAGGTGTAGTGGACAGTGAAGAAGGTTATCTCGGAGTGCAACGGAATCTTGATCAGATGGGCCAATGGGCTGAGGAGTGAGAGATGGAATTTAATTTAGATAAATGTGAGGTGCTGCATTTTAGAAAGGCAAATCAGGACAGGACTTATACATTTAATGATAAGGTCCTGGGGAGTATTGCTGAACAAAGAGATGTTGGGGTGCAGGTTCATACTTACTTGAAAGTGGAATCGCAGTTAGATAGCATAGTGAAGAAGACGTTTGGTATGCTTGCCTTTATTGGTCATTGAGTATAGGAGTTAGGAGGTCATATTGCAGCTGTTCAGGATATTGGTTAGGCCACTATTGTAATACTGCATGCAATTCTGGTCTCCCTGCAATAGGAAGGATATTGTGAAACTTGAAAGGATTCAGAAAAGATTTACAAGGATGTTGCCAGGGTTGGAGGGTTTGAACTATAAGGAGATGCTGAATAGACTGGGGCTATTTTCCTTGGAGCATTGGAGGTTGAGAGGTGACCTTTATAGAGGTTTATAAAATCATGAGGGATGTGGATAGGATAAGATCATTTCCCTGGGGTGGGGGAGTCCAAAACTAGAAGACATTGGTTTAAGGTGAGAGGGGAAAGATTTAAAAGGGACCTAAGGGGCAACTTTTTCATTGCAGAGGGTGGTACGTGTATGGAATGATCTGCCAGAGGAAGTGGTGGAGGCTGGTACAATTACAGCATTTAAAAGGCATCTGGATGGTTATATGAATAGGAAGGGCTTAGAGGGATATAGGCCAAATGCTGGCAAATGGGACTAGATTTATATAGGATATCTGGTCAGCATGGACGAGTTGAACCGAAAGGTCTGCTTCCATGTTGTATATCTCTATGACTCTGTGTCTGTAGACACCAAGTAGTGTCATCAGCCAGCATCAGTGACTGATTTGCTCCAGTGTGTCTCATTATCCTTTTGGTTTGCCTCCTTGATTCAAAGCATAAATAAAAGGCACCTGGATGGGTACAAGAATAGGAAGGGCTTAGAGGGATATGGGCCAAATGCTGGCAAATGGGACTAGATTAGTTTAGGATATCTGGTCAGCATGGATGAGTTGGACTGAAGAGTCTGTTTCCACGCTGTACAACTCTATAATTATGACATAAGAAAGGTACACGTCCCTCTTAAATCCAGTGAATTTAAAAATCCTGCCAAGATCTCCCACTAGTTGTGATCCCAACTAATGTTATTATGACACAAGTCAGATCCCAAACAGGAACCTGGCTTGATCGATCATATTTTGATTTGTTTTGATTTTAAGTAGGATTTAGGAGGATCCCAAAGCATTTGATATGCATATTGGGAGCAAGAGGGGAGCTAGGGAAAAGGTAGCTCCATTCAAGGACAAAGCAAGGGATTTATGTGGGGGAGTCCTTAATGATTACTCCACGTCGGTATTCACCAAGGAGAAGGACATGGGTGATGATAAGGTTAGAGAGGGGTATGGTGATATTCTAGGGCATGTCGATATTAAGGAGGGGGAGGTGTTGGGTGTATTGAAAAACATTAAGGGTGATAAGACCCCAGGGCTTGATGGGATCTTTCGCGGGATACTGAGGGAGGCAAGGGAGAAGATTGCTGGGGTCTTGACAGAGATCCTTGCGTCCTCTTTAGCCCCAGGCGAGGCCCAGAAGACTGGAAAATGTTGTTCCTTTGTTTAAGAAGAGCAACAGGAATAATTCAGGAAATTATAGGCCGGTGAGCCTTACATCAGAGGTAGGGAAATTTTTGGAGAAAATTCTTAGGGACAGGATTTACTGCATATGGAAAATAACGGACTTACTGGGACAATCGGCATGGATTTGTGTGGGAGAGGTCTTGACTGACAAATTTGATTGAGTTTTTTGAGGAAGTGACAAAGAGGATTCATGAGGTTAAGGCAGTGAATGCTGTCTGCATGGTCTTTACTAAAGCATTTGACAAGGTCCCTCATGGTAGGCTGTTCCAGAAAATTAAGTCGCATGGGATCCATGGTGATTTGGTAAATTGGATACAACATTGGCTTGGCCATAGAAAACAGAGTGTAGTTGTGGAGGGGTGTTTTTCTGACTCTATGTCTGTGTTCCACGAGGATCAATGCTGGGACCTCCTACTGATTATAATATTGTATGAATGATTTGGATGAAAATGTAGGTGGTCTAATGAATACATTTGCAGACAACACGAAAATTGGTAAAGTTGTGGATAGTGAGAAAGGTTGCAAAAGGATATAACAGGATATAGATCAGTTGGAAAGTTGGGCAGAGAAATGACAGATGGAGTTTAATCTGGACAAGTGTGAGGTGATGCATTTTGGGAGGTCAAATGCAGGAGGAAAGCATACAGTAAATGGCAAGACCCTTAGGAGTGTTGATAGACACAGGGATGTTGGGGTGCAAGTTCATAGCTCCCTGAAAGTGGCAACACAAGTGGATAAGGTGGTAAAGAAGCTGTACAGCATGTTTGCCTTCATTAGTCAGGGCGCTGAGTATAGAAGTTGGCAAGTCATGTTGCAGCTGTATAAAACTTTAGTTAGGCCACATTTTGGAAAATTGTGTGCAGTTCTGATTGCCACACTATAGGAAGGATGTGGAGGCTTTGGACATGGTGCAAAAGGGGTTTGCCAAGATTTTGCCTGGATTGGAGTGCATCCAGCTATAAGGAGAGGTTGGACAAACTTTGATTGTTTTCGTGAGAGTGTCAGAGGCTGAGGGGTGACATGTTGGAAGTATATAAAATTATGAGAAGCATGGACAGGGTGGATAGTTGGAGTCTTTTTCCTGGGGGTAAAAATGTCAAATACCAGGAGGAATAGGTTTAAGGTATGAGGGGTAAAGTTTAAAGGAGATGTGCGAAGAAAGTTTTTTAATGCAGAGGGTGGTAGGTGCCTGGAACTTGCTGCCAGTGGAGATGGTAGAAGCAGATATGATAGCAATGTTTCAGAGGCATTTAGACAGACACATGTACAGGCAGGGAATTGTGGGATATGGACCACGTGGAGGCAGATGGGATTAGTTGACGATGGCATCATGGCTGGCATAGACATAGTGGGGCAAAGGGCCTGTTCCTGTGTTGTACTCTTCAATATTCTATCTTCTTAACAAAGTGGTCCCACAGCAAAACATAAGCAAACAATGCTGCAGATTTTGTTTTAACAACAAAACAGAAGCTTGCTAATAACAGAAATTAAGATAAAATAGAATATAACCAAACCATCTACTTACTATACAAAATCAAAGATTTTTAAACACACAGGAAAGTATAATCCTATTAACCAAAAACACACCTTCATAAATTGAAAAGAAACAAAACAGCATTTTTATTATACCCAAAACACCACTCAGACTATGCTAACACTAGAGTTCCTGTATCTAATGCCTCAGTAAGTTTAAGTCACTTGTGACTCCAGCTTTTAGAATGGAACTGTAGATAGCTTCTTCCTGGAGCTATTACACACCCGCTTATATGTATTTGCTTTAACTTCTTCAAGGTTTCTTTCTCAGGAACACTGGTCTACATTGCCATCCTATCCCAAGGTCTTCACAGGGCTGCACAAAACTCACAGTAAAACTAAAACCAAAAGCCTCCATCTTTAAGTTATGGCGTTTTCCTTCAGCTTACAAAAACATTCCAGAAGTCTTTAACAAATCTCGAGGCCCCATTATTTGCCTTGCTGGGTTGCAAAATAATCTAAAATAAACAAAAAATCCCAAAACAAAAAATAAACAAAAACCCCATTCTCTCGCAAGCCAGTCCTCAAAAGCTGTTTTAAAAGAAATCACCATGTCTCGAGAAATGCTTACAAATTCATTATTAAGTTCACATACATAGAAAACCCACAGGTTGCTAAGTCAAAAACCAGAAGACCTAATGTAAATAAATGATATTAAATATGGATAAATATCACAGTTTACACCCCAATTGATAGAGCACATTGGGAAATAAATATGCTCTGTTTTCTGTCCATGAGTTCTCAATCCGTGCCAGCATATTCCCCTTAACGTCATGTGCTCCAATTTTGTTTACCAAGCTTTTGTGTGGGGCTTTATGCAGGCATATATGAACTCCTAATCCTTGAGAAACATTTCTTTCTGCAGATCTTGCCTTCGGAAAACCTGGCAACAGTGGTCATGGCTTCAACAGGTAGTGTCCCGTTGAACCAACCGCTTCTCATCCCGCTCAACATGGCTGGTCAAGTTACTGCCCAGCAAGGACTCGTGTTGACTTTTCCCACGGCATCCATTGGTTCTCTCCCGAGCCTTACTTCTGCCACTGGGGCAGGAGGCATTGTCAAGCTCCCTCTGGCAAACTTGCAGGGTAAGCCATGCATAATTTACTGTGGACACAGTATTATTTTGCTGAACAAGTTATTTTATAAAGTAAGTACATTTGGTCTGGCATGTGTTATTGCATATGTCAAGTGCTATGTCAGTTACATCCAAAAATGTACATGTGCTGTGATTAAAATTATATCTGTAGCTATGGAAAGTAAGGGGAGATTTTCATCTACGAGTGCCTTGCAACTGATGTGAGAGAAAGTGGCTGCCCTTCTCAGTTAACAAGGTGTAGAGTTGGATGAACACAGCAGGCCAGGCAGCATCAGAGGAGCAGGAAAGCTGATGTTTCGGGTCTGGACCCTTCTTCAGAAATAGATGTGGGGAAGGGGACTCTGAAATAAATAGAGAGATGGGGAGGCGATGATGGAAGGTGAATAGAGGAGCAGATAGGTGGAGACAAGATGGACAGGTCAAGGAAGTGGGGATGGAGCCAGTAAAGGTGAGTGTAGGTGGGGAGTTGGGATGGGGGTTGGTCAGTTGGGAGACAGGGGACCTTCCAATTGTCTTTAGGGAATGTGATTTCCCGAGTACATGGCAAATGAGGATCTTGGCACAAACTCTGGAGTGAAAAAGGCCTTTTTAACTCATCAGGCCTGCTCAATCCTTGTTCACGTGATAATTGTAAAGTAATTCCAGGTTTTCAACATGCTCCTTGTGTGTGTAACTCCCCACTGCTAGTGCTGAATTTTGAAATTACTTCTATATGTCTCAAACTGTGGTTGCCAAAGCCAACTTGTGTAAAATGAATTGAATGAATGAATTGAGTTAGCTTTATTGTCACATGTACTCACATGAGTACAGTGAAAAGTTTACAAGTCGCCGCTTATGGCGTCATCTTAGGTACAAGGTACCTAGATACAGATTCTTCAGTACAAGCTTTTAGGGGAAAAAATTAGAAAAATAAAGAAATTTAAAAATCCAGCATTACAGATCATAGGAATAAATTAGAAAATAGAGAAATAAAAGGTTCAGAACAACAGTCCTTCCAACCTAGCCCGTGCTGGGCCATGACTCCAGACTGCTTTTCCATGGCTGCGTACACCTATAAAGCCCAACAAGGCAATTAAGCACAAAGCAGTCGTCAGTTCGCTGCGCAACCTCTCCTACCAACAGGAGACATTGAGCATGCTGATACTATCTTCTGATTATAATACCGTTGCTGTTTTTGCTGCATTCATTTAGATTCAAGCAGGTACCCTTTGAATTGAGCATTGCTGAGCACTAATTGGTAAATATTTCCAAATCAACCTGTTCAGAAATGTTATTACATAGCTTTGCAGCAAGCGAGATTTGAACCCCACTCTCCTGGCTGCAAGGGACGGACACTGCCACTGCACCACAAGAACCCCTCAGCTCTAACTGGCAAACTGAGCAGAGTTTTAAAATCAACTGACAACAAAAATGCTGATGTCAAGAGGAGAAGGTTTATTAGCAAGTATCTACAAGCACTGGATATCATGGAGATTTAATTATAAAGATGAGTTGGCTATCAGGGTCATTTAAGCTGCTGGTCAAATGCATCATTATAACCAGATTCTACTGTGTTATAATTTCAATAGACATGAGGTTTGAAACTCCTTGCTGGCTGTTCCTTTACTCCACTGAATAAAGTGACATATCCAAGTCTGCTACAGGAAAATCTTGATTCTGGGGCAAAATGATACTTAGGTTCTATTTTTTTGTTTTGGTAAGGCTACATTTGTTTTTGGCTTACTCTTGTAAGGTCACCTCAACAATAAATTTAGTAGAAAGCATTCCAATTCAGCAGTTCCAAAAATTGTTATGTTTTACAACTGATTCCATTTTAAAAAAAAACCTTGTAATTAAGGGTACTGATTCCGGAAAACCTATAAAAGTAATCACTTTCTTCATTTCTGCTCAGCACAGGTTCCTTTTTGATCTCTCTCTCCCTATTTTTCTCCCAGCTTTCTTTTTTGAGCCATCCTTTTCTTTCTAAGCTTTCATCCTCCTTTCCTGTCCTTATCAACTTTGTTTTTCTCCATTCCACCACACTTAGAATGAAGTAGAGAACTTTCTTGGCTCAGAATAATATGCCAAGAGAAGCAGCCATGGCAAGATTGCGTTTTATAGTGCATCATCAGTGGACATACAGTTCACTTTACAGTTAAAAATATAATCAGTTGCCACCATGTGAAACAATAGAGCAAATCATCAAAGTAAGAGATAAATCCACTTGATTGCAGTTAATTAGCAATGTTACATTCCAGAATTCTCACAGTACAGGTATAATTGATAAAGAATATTTCATATTTACATGGAACATACTTCAATGAATTCAATGTTAAAGTATTTACTTTCTAGCATATGAAAGCTTCAGTAATGCTGAGTACTGGTGGTGGCCCCATTCGCGGGAAGATCCTCACTGCACAATAAAAAGCCACAATAAAACCTGAGTATGGAGTGCGATTGTGGGTTAGTTTGATCTTGTCACCATACAATATACAAGCTTCGTGCTGGGTGGAAAGAATCCACAATCTGGAAGGACAGAGAAGGAATTTGGGGTGAGTCTTGGCTGTGCCAGGCCCCACAGTTTATATGTGCAGATTGATTTGGCTGAAGGAGAGGGTGAAAGAAGCACCTGTCAACTCCATGCATATAGCAATAACAAGGTGATGTCAACTGTTTGGAACTTTGCAATTTCTTTCTGCCTTGCCTTCATAAAATATGATTGGTACAACAGAGAGTCTTGCCAAGAACAGCTAATCAGATTAGAAATGTTTTTTTGAAAGAGCATTTCTACATTATCTCTTGTCCATATTGTTTCAGATCTGAATTAGACAAATACTGTCTTTTTTGGCTAGCTCCTGACTGACTTTTCACCCTGACCAAAACCAGAAAAGTCTTTGGAATCCCAAAGAAAATTGAAGATACCCTTCTGAGAAAACAGGATGATGGATTTCTCTTTGAGAATCCTTGTGCTCGTGATTTTATACAATGGGAGAGGAGGAATGTAGAGAATCAGGCTTATACTTTATGGCTGTCCGAGCATTATCGATTCCTTAAACTATGTGAACTTTAACTGTTGTTACAAATATAAGGTCGATAAGATTGTTGTGTTTTAGGAATGAATCTTTGATTGAGGGTTAATGAAGGGGGTCATGTGACCTGTATGGAAGTCTGCCTCACAATAGGCCTGCATGATATGGCTGTTAAAGATTTAAAAAAAAATGTCTGGGTTAGTCTTGCTGGAAAGGTGTTTACATTGTTTAGACTGCTAATCTCCAAAGTCACCTGACAATGTTCTTTAAGATAAATGTGAGCTGTGGTGTCAAGGATAGCTAATTAGCATTTCTATATGGGTACAAGGCCCATGTGATTCCTGTCGCAATGGAGTTGGGCTTTGAGGGGAGGTGCGGTGTTTCTAAGATATCCCTAAAACTCCCAGACACAGGCATTTTTCCTGGATCTGGGATAAAACAGCTGGAGGCCGCAAGTCTCCTTAGTTCACCAAGTACCAATGTGGGTGGGACCTCACACTCTGACTGCAAAAAAACAAGTACATCAGAATTTGAAATCAAGGCTGGAAAATTTACTGAGATCGCGCTAGAGGCAGAATTCCCTCCCTGTGAAAGACCGTTGGGGGTTTACAGTTACCTAGGCTAAGAAAGGACAGGAACAGAACTAAACATTTGGAGCTAAAAGTCAACTTGAACTGGATCTGGCAACATCAAATGATTGTCAGAGACTGCTGTGTATTAGTAGACTCAATGTACAAGATCACCCTTTTTTTGGGCTCCAAAACTCCTTTTTTAATATATTTGACATACTATACTCTCATTAAGCGTCAATTGTTTTTACTCCATAAATCAATGTTTTACTGACTGGTATCTTAACATATGGTTCATGGGATCAAGCAGGTGGTGTGGGCTATGTTGTGAAGATTATGGGAGTTTAAACCATGTCCGCAAAGAGCAGACCATGGTGAACTATACAGATGGTGATGACCCACACCTCTGCATAGAAGCCGACCTCTGTTATTGAAGGGATATTTCAAGGCATAGTGGTTGACTTCTATGTTAACATCTTTGGACCTTAAGAAACAGTGTAAACTCTACTTTCTGAAGTGTGTTTTCTTGGTTTTGCTGAGAGCAAAAATGGAAAGTTTTATTCTGTATTTTAAATATATGTTGCCTACAGCAATAGTGTTTAGTTAATTGCACTTTTACTTTAAAAGTCTTAAAATGTGAAATATTGTCATGTCATCTTTTCAGATGTCAACTGGAAGTCCACATTTTTGTTAAATGTCATCAGTCTGTACAGGGATTGCTGGTATGTGAGCAACACTGGAGACTACATCACAGTACATGAGTTGGTGGAGCACCTTCATTCATTCATGCCATTACTGACAAAGCCAGCATTTAGTTCCCATCACTAATTTCCCTTCAGGAGGTGGTGGTTGCAAACCATGTGTTGTTCAGGAAGAGCGGTTTCCTGGATTTTGACCCAACGACAGAGAAGGAACACTAATATAGCGCAGAATTGACTGCAGCCCATTGTGGCATGAAACGTGTCGACCTGGCTCACATAATCATAGGAGACGCAGTGAACCAGTTTCCCAGCTCACAGTTGAGTCAGAGGTGAGAAGGGACCTATAGAGGAAGTTCACCTGTTCATGGCAGGATGTCAGTTCAGCTTATTACTGACAGGCTGAGCAACTGAATGGAGTCGATGATGCTGTGGACCTTAGGAGGAGGTTGAGGTGGATCATCTGTGTGGTAATTTTGGCTGAAAATGCTTCAGTCTTATCTTTTGCACGCATAGATTGTCTCCCCACCATTGAGAATGGGAATGTTTTTGTGCCTCCTACTTGAGTTAGTTGTTTCTTTGTCCACCATCATGCATAACTGTGCCAAAGCTGCAGAGCCTTGTCTTATCTGTGGGTGGTGAGATCTCGCAGTTCGGTCTAATTTGTGCTACTTCCATTGTCCAACATGTAGGGCAGGATCTGTGTTTGTCTTT